CTTATGCTTCATTTTTCTCAAATGAAAAAAAATTATAATTCAGTTGTTTATTTGCTGATTTTGTTTACTTTCTGTTGCTCCCCATCCCCCAATTGAATTGTTCTAGGTAGGCAGGAATCTTTTTCTATTTTGTTTACCCTCCTATATCCCCAGTATCCACTAAGCACTCGATAAACATTGTTGAATAACCTTATACCAACAATACGGTCTTAGTTCTTTAAACGTCATTTTTCTCATCGCTATCATAAAATTGCAACTGAAATGTCTCTAAATAGTAAATATGAGAATACTGGTGGAAGAAGAATTTTTTCCTTCTTCAAAATAGAAACAGAGAATCTAATGGTACATCTTCCTATTGTAGCTATTACAACAATCTCTATGACTAATTAATTTTGGGGAAACTTTTACAATGCCTAGTTAGCAGAAGCACAAGAGAAGAAAAGAACCTAGTTCTGTAAGTGCATTATTCCTCAGGGAATTGCAGGGCTTGAGATTTCATCATAAATACAATTTAAAAAAATACTTTGTTTCAGGAGAGAGAGTCCCAAATCTCAAAAGGGCATGATGCCAGGAAATAAATAGAGATAATACCTTCATCTGGACTTTCATCTTGAAAATAAATAAACTTTAAAGCTAGAGAGGAAAAATTTTTTTAAATTCACTCTCTGCAACTCATGGCAGGTTATAAACTGGATCATCCAAATCTCCAGACATCCATCATATGCTTTTTACTTTGTGGGGTAATATTTTATTTCCCACCTCTGACTTTTCTTCTTGGCACATATCCAAAGAGTGAGTTAAAACTTTGCCTGCCCTATTACAAATGCTGAGTTTTCTGCATAAATGGATTTACTGATGTACTCTTTTTGCTCTGAAAATGTAAATATCTGGTTAAAATAAAATGTGTACAATAAAATTGAAAATATTAATTTTTCTCTTCTTTCTCCAAGTATTTGGAAGTACATTTATCTAATTTCCTTATCCTTTTTAAATAGTATTGTTTACAAAATGGCCTAGGAATTTTGTATGAAAATGTGTAAATTTCTGAAGGTGGATTTATTATCAATATTATGATCAATTTTGTTTCTCAGTAGGGAAAATACGACAAATCTCTGATTACACTCATATCTTTCTAACCTATTTATTGCTCTCAGTTTCACTAGTTTAATATATCTTGGTTTTATCTGAAATAACTTTTCCTTAAATGATAAAACCATTCAGTATCTGTGTGCTTTCTGTTTCTTGTATTTATAGAATCTTCTTTGGATTGTGACTTTATACAGTTCATATTCCCAAGAAATACTGTTACAGGAGACCCAAACAGGGTGAGTATTGACACTGATTTGATATACCACAATTAGGGTCCCATTAACAGTGAAAATGATTAATTAAGATAGCTAAGAGTAGAGTACCAAAGTATCAGAACACAGGTCAAAGTATAAAAGACAAAAAGTAAATGAATTTAAAGAATTCAGTCAAATTAATTATGGAGATAACCACTAAAACCTGTGTGGCAGCTAAATGAGATGCTTTAGATTTTTCTTCAATAAAAGTGGCAGAATAATTTGTGGACATTCCATAAGTTGGGATATTTTTGAAACATTCATATTATATCAATTGCCTCACATTAATATTAATATTATGTTTTTTTCTCTTTGTTTCTGTATGTTTTGTACTCATTATATGCACTTAAGTACTATTTAAATGTTCTTCAGTTAGAGACACTCTGTTTTTTCATTTCTAGTGAATGGCCAAGATTCACTAGCTCCATAGCCTGCTCTCTCTAAACAAGATGACATTTATTCTTTCTCAGATATTATACAACAGCCTCAGCTGAGAAAACTATACAATTATTCAGAATAAAAATCCTAAATAATTTTTTAAAAAGTAAACTTACTACATAATCACAGCAGATCAAGGGAGAATTTGTCTTCCAGGAAAAATTTAAAAAACCTCTTATAATTTCAGAAACCTGGTACCTACCCTACATTGCCACCTGATATGATGTGATCGCTATGGGAAACAAATAGACTGAACCACCATGTTGCATTCAGACTTGATACAAACTACATTGCCCTGTGCACAATGAGAATGCATAAACAGCAGTTCTTCCACTTTAGATGTAAAACGTGGTAGCCAAGAGCAGGCTTCTGAGGAAACAAGACATATGAAAGCTTTGATTCAGTAACCAAAAAAAAAAAAAAAAAAAAAAAAATGAGGGAAGAGAGCAGGAATTAGTGAAGCAAGGTATTCCATGTTTTGAGTTTGTCTCAAAAGAAAATGTCAAGAATGGGTATGAAAATGTGTAAAATAGAGAAAAAGACCAGACATAGAAAGCAGTTATGAAAGCAATATGGCAATGCGATGCACACAAATCAAAAGATTTTCTCTATTTCACAACATTTTTTTACAACAAAATTAGCTAACCCTAGTCACATTCACAAGTTCAGTCACTCAAGCAGTTATTCTCCCTAAATCAGGTGCCCCAAGTGGCAGTTTAGTTCTCACATTCACAAGATGGTATATCAAAA